AGTTAGTTTTAGACAGTAGCATGTGAGATATCCATAGATAATCTAGTAGAGGTGTTCAGTATGTGGCTTGAATTCAAGAGAAAGGACTAGGCTGGAAATGTCCTTAGGATATAGGTGGTGTTTGAAGCCATGGAGTGGATGCACTTGCCCACAGAGAGTATGAGGAGGATGAAGTAGATGTATGGGAGAAGAGGACTCTGAAAAGCAGATCAAGAGAAGTAAGAGGTATAAAGCAAAAGAAATCAGACTGTGGAAGCTAAGGGAAAAAGGATTTGCAGAAGAGAATCATGACTAGTGTCCAGTGCCCTCAGAAGACACCCAGGGAATTTGGAAGATGTGCTTTGCATTTGGCAGTTAGGAAAGACATGCTCAGGGATCAGGGTGTTCCAGCCAGGGGAATGCAGAGAGCAAAAGTGATGCCACAGTAGCTTAAGAGCAAATAAGAAGTGGGGAAAAAAACAGATGAGGAGAATTGTGTGTGTGTGTGTGTGTGTGTGTTTGTGTTTTAATTCAGCAGTGAATGGAAGCCAAAAGCACATTAGGTAGAGTGGGATGAGGAATGAAGAGGGGGAGGATTTGTGTGTGTTTAAGGTGGGAGGTATGTGTATCTAATCTTGTAGAGAGGGCTGCCTAGTTAAATGGAGGAGAGAAGAATGTCCCTGAAACTGCAGTATGAGGACACAGAAACGTGGTACTCAACATCCAGTAGGAGGTGGCTACCCTATTACTGCCAACGGAGACAAGATGGGAGAAATTGGCCCAGCCTGAACACATTTGTGAGGATGAAGGCTTCCAGAGACAAGACATTGGAGAGTTCCTAGCATTTAATATCCTCTTGCCTCTTAGAGGAGGCAGAGTCTTGGGTCGAGTAAAGGTGAACATTAATGGTTAATATGCAGGTTGTATTACACAACTGTAGGCACTTAATTTGACAATCTGCTAACTACAAAGTAGTGTCTTTGAACAAATATCAGTGATAAGAAGCCATATCCATGTCACTGTAGTGTCTTAAAGGAAATTCAGAGACTTTCTATTCTGTGTTGTGGATGAAAACAGTTAAGTTTTATAACCACCTTATGCTTTTATCCATCTTCTTTCCATATATAAAACAAGTTTTCTTTGTATTTAGTATTCACATGATCATAATTTCCAAAATGACTTCCCCCTGTGGTCAAAGAACTGTTATTGGAAAGAGGGAGAGAGAGAATGAGTGTATGTGTGTGTATCTCAGTTCTCTTCAGCCAGAGACCATCAAGAAGATACCTGTAGTTGAACATGTTGAGTTTATGATTCACTGCAGCAAAGAGAATGCATGTTGTATAATACCATGGGGGCATCTCAGTAAGAAGGTATTTGACTTGTCATAAAATATGGGCTTTGATTGGATAATTTCAGAGGATCTGGGGAAGCAAGGACTTGCTCTGTATTGGGTGCTGTTAGAAGGAAGGACAATTCTGTGACTGAGTACCTCATTAAACTTAGAGGGAACACAGAATAGATTGAGGAAAAAGCTGTAATTGGTAAGGCTGTGGCAGTCATTCACTGAGTGTGACAGGAGGATGTTTGGTATTTTGTGGGTTGCACAGTGAACTTGTTTTTGTGTCACCTTACCATAGTCTCCGAGTGATTTTATTTGATACAGATATTATTTGAGATTATATCCCAGCGAAGAATGCAGGTCTGACTGTGGGCATCAGACCAGCTTATAATAATAATGAGATCTAGCTGTTAAAGTCAGATGAATTCTGGACTTCAGAGACAGGCTTATTTTTCATATATTCATGTTCATCCTCTGTGTGTACACACACACACACACACACACACACACACATACCTATTTATATCTTAGTTTAGCTCTAATTTATAAATGAGATGCTTATCTTTTCCTTCTTTGAGTCAGTGTAATTTTACTATGTATTGACAAAAAATTTAAAAATCCTTTCAGAATGTAGTATTTTATCAGGATGTCAAAACTCATTACTTGAGGGTACACTTTTTCAGCTGTATCAATAGCATAAAATGTACTGCTGTTTGTTATGTTATTGGGGAATGAGCAGAAACCAACATTCTTGCATTGATCCAAGTAGGAAGTGGGTGGTGGTAAGGGCACAGAGGGTGGACAGTTTGAGAACTATTTAGAAAAGAGGGCTGGTAGAACTTGATGTCAGAATGTAGTATGTAAGGAAGCCAGAAGAATGAAGGGTGATGCCTAGGTTTCTAGCTGAGTAAGTTTCAGTAGAAAGTGATGTTTCTACCAGGATGAGGAGGAAGGGGAAAGTGACAAGTTGGCAGGGGGATAACATCTTAAACCAAAATCCCTACAGTAGCAAGAATCTGGTGGATTAGAAGCTGATTGCTTGTAAGCAGTCTTGTAGGTGCCTCGTACCTAACAGAATAATAATTTATTATTTGATTAACAGCAAGAGCTGTAACTGCCCAAGGAACCAAAATCTTAAATTCTTTTGTCAGCATGTTCTCTCCTGATAGGCAAATCTATGTTAGTGACAAAATTACCATCAGGACATTGTTTGATCAGGGTGGGGACATAACAAGGGAAGCTAGCCTGGGTATCTTGGTTGCTATGGTCCTCAAGGTATGACATCTCTGCTATAGGGTTTTATGTGCCCAGTATATGGAAACACAGGTGTGACCTCAGAACTGTGTCTTGAACCTTTTTGCTGAAATGTTGTATGCCAAGAATGCCAAAATGGGTATCTATGGTTCAAAACTTTACATTTTATAGAACTGATCTACACATTTTTAATAGAGACAGTATGAAGGGAGGAGGGGAGAGAAGGAGGGGATTAAAATGTATCTGTAACCATACATAAACAAAAGACAGACTTCCTTTACCTAATCATTCTGATGTATTGAACCTGTATAAAGAGGCAAAATGCAGATGAATTTAAAAGGCAGCTCACCTCGTTGATATGTCAGCTGTGCAGAGTTGATCAAGGAAATCTGACATACTAAATTTGCTCTTGTTTGGTTTCTTTTTATCATTGTGTTTTCGCTTTATATTGGGAAAGGCTTTTCTCCAGCTGACTTCTCCCTGCCCTTAGGGGGAAAAAAAATCACTGTTTCTTGCTGAAATTTCCTTTTCTTTCTTCATCTTAATATTTTGAATCAGAACATATAATTAAATTTTATTTAGAGCTTTTCAATGTGAGACTTGTATTCTCTATAAAATTAAAGCAAAATCGTGTTTATTTTTGCTTGTAAATACACGCATGTGATGTATAGTTCTGTTTTATTAAATTCATATGTGTGTTTGAAATTACATGCCATTTTTCCAGATGATTACATTGTGAAAAGTCATTTAGATAAACCTACAGAGATGGAAAATCTCTAACTAAATGGTGATGGTTATGCCAGCTTTCTGATTACTGGTGTGGAAGCAGCAGAAGAGCCTGTGGCTGGTTCCCTAGTTTTCTTACACAGTGGCCTAATTACACCTTTAACGGAAGGCATTACTCCTCTTTTTAGACCCTTCTTATATGCCTGATCTTTTATTGAATTGTTTGTGTGCCTTTGGGAGTCTTTAAGTTACCTATTCATTAGGATTTTAAGAACATCCTGATAATAGTTAAATATTATATTTATATTAATGGGTTTTTCTTAGGCATTGCCTTTCACCATTTTGGTTATTTTTGTTTTAAGCATGAACAACCCTTAATGCTTGTATCATATGATTATTCTATCAATAGTGAGATTGTTACACTGAATATGTGAAAAAATACTGGATTCTTTTTGAGTTAGAAACTATCTTAGAGAAAATCTTAGAGTGTAATCCTCTTGCCCTGTATGCCAAACAGGTGAGGATAAAAGAATTAGGTGACTTCTGAGTTTCCTGAAAGAAAAGTGTGATTTTTTTAAACATATAATTATGAATTATGATTTTCAGCCTTATAAAAATCATTACTTTTCAACCTCTAATTTTGGAACTTAAAATTAATGAACATTGAGTTAGTAAACCAGTCAACAAATAGTACAGTTTTTATGTTTTACTTAATAAAAATTAAGCAGAAGTCTGCATGAATATTGAACACATTTTATTTGTTTTTCAAAAAGATTTATTTGTTTATTTAGGGGGAGAGAGCACCTGCATGCCTGCATGAGTCGGGGAAGGGGCAGAGGGAGTGGGGAGAGAGAGGAGGAGAGAAGCAGACTCCCAACTGAGTACAGAGCCCAGTGTGGGGCTGCCCTGAGATCACGACCTGAGCCAAAATTAAGAGCCGGTAGCTTAACTGACTGAGCCACCCAGACACATCATTTTAAACTACTTAACATCCTTCACCATTTAAGTAGATATAGAGAAGGTTGTCTATTTGAGCTAATTATTTTAAATTCATGTTCATTAATTAAGAAATAAAATGCCTGAGGTAAATTTCTTCAAGCTGTCAGAACTCTTCCTTCCTTTTTTGCAGTAATTCATTAGTTGAGTAAATGATACTATGACTAAATATATTTTAGGAGGTATGTGTAGATGGAGTAATCGTTCTTCAACGGGGACTGAAATTTGTGGTTGTAAGGACAAAAATAGTTTCATTTCTTTATACGAATAAGTTATTTTGTGATACAATTATTTCTTCCAGAATGAGATTTTTTTTTAGTTAATTAATAGATTTTGGAATTAGGAAGTACACTAGAATTCACCTGATTCAACAGCTTCAATTTATAGACAACGATAATGAGAATCAAAGTGCAGAGGAATTATCCAGGGTGACATATTTGATCAGAATAAAGCCCTAGTCTCTCTTGTTTCATTTGTCTGGTGCTTTTCAAGCTGTAATGTGTGTTATTCTCTCAAAAACAATCTAGATGTTTAAATAGAAAGGGAGAATGGGCAGAATGCCAAAGGAAAAAGATGTGAATTCCCCTTGCAGTGCACCTGTTACATTTAGGAGTTCACTTTATGGGTCTCCAGCATTTGTTCTTAAGAGACAGTGCTTCTGTGGTGGGGATAATCATGCTAATTAAACTGATTTTTTGCCTTTTAGGTGAGAGTTACGTGTGTGCATCAAATGAACCATTTCGTAAAGTTGATTACACCAAAAATGTTAATCCAAACTGGTCTGTGAACATCAAGGGTGGGACAACACGAGCCTTGGCTGCTCCCTCCTCAGTGAAAAGTGAAGTGAAGGAAAGTAAAGATTTCATCAAACCCAAATTAGTGACTGTGATTCGAAGTGGAGTGAAGCCTAGAAAAGCGGTGCGGATCCTTCTAAATAAGAAGACTGCTCATTCCTTTGAACAGGTGTTGACCGACATCACCGAAGCCATTAAACTAGATTCGGGGGTGGTCAAGAGGCTCTGCACACTGGACGGAAAGCAGGTAGGAGGTTTACCAACCCCCAGCCCTCCATCTCACTGTTGAACTCCCTGTGCATCATGGTGGTTACATATTTGACAAAGAATTTCATAGTCTGCTAGAAATTATTCAAATACTCCTACGTGAGATGTGTGTGTGTCTGTATTAGCATGTATCATGAAAAATGTGAGTGGCTCACCTGTGTCTTTATCCAAATACCTCAAAAGTGTATATAGAGAAATCTGTACTTCTTATGGTCACTGAAAGGGAAATGTAAACAACTTATCTTTTTTTTTTTTTTTACTTTGTATTTAAATTCCAGTTAGCTAATATACAGTGTGATATTAGTTTCAGGTGTACAGTCTAGTGATTCAACACTTCCATTTCCATCTAACACCGGGTGCTCATCACAAGTACCTTCCTTAATCCACATCACCTATTTAACCCATCCCCCAACTCACCTCCCCTCTGGTAACCATCAGTTTGTTCTCTGTAGTTAAGAGTTTGTTTCTTGGTTTGCCTCTCTCTCTCTTATTTCCCTTTGCTCATTTGTTTTGTTTCTTAAATTCCATATATGAGTGAAATCATATGGTATTTTGTCTTTCTCTGACCGACTTATTTTGCCTGGCATAAACACTCTGGCTTCAACTATGTAGTTCCAAATGGCAAGATTTTATTTTATTTTTTTTTTAATGGCTGAGTAATATTTTTGTTTTAGATGTATTTTTATCTATATAAATATATATGCTTATATAATACACACACACACACACACACACACACACATCACATTTTCTTTATCCATTCATCAGTCAATGGACACTTGGGCTATTTCCATAATTTGGCTTTTGCTGACAATGCTGCTATAAACATCCAAGTATATGTATCCCTTTGAATTTGTATTTTTATATCCTTTGGGTAAATACCTCCTAGTGCAATTGCTGGATCATAGGGTAGTTCTATTTTTAACTTTTTGAAAAAAAACCTCCATGTAGTTTTCCAGAGTGGTTGCACCAGTTTGCAATCCCACCAACACTGCAAGAGAGCACCTTTTAATCCACATCCTCACCAAAACTTGCTGTTTCTTGCATTTTTTATTTTAACCATTCTAAAGGTGTGAAATGATACCTCATTGTGCTTTTGATTTGTATTTCCCTGATGATGACTGATGTGGAGCATCTTTTCATGTGCCTGTTGGCCATCTGGATGTCTTCTTTGGGAAAATGTCTAGTCATGTCTTCTGCCCATGTTTTAATTGCATTATTCATTTTTTGGATGTTAGTGAAATGTAGACTTCAGAGGGAAGCCTCTTCAACTTACATTTTTCCCTCAGAAGTCTACATTTCACTAACATCCAAAAGATGTTCTCTGTTTAAGAATAAGAACACCTATTGACTAGTAGAGTCATTATGGGTTTGGTAAATCACAGGAGTCAAAATTGAAGATATTTAACATTTTTAGAAAAGCCTTTCCTCCCCACCTACATATAATATGGAAAATGCCTTTCGAAAAAGTACTTTTCTTTCATAAAAATGCCCATATAATTTCATAGGGCACAAGGGAGGCAATTAGCATTTCTTTTTTGTTTGTTTGTTTGTTTTTTGTTGTTTCTTTTTTGTTTGAGAGAGGGGTGTATGTATGTGTGTGGGGACTGGGGTCAGAGGGAGAGGAGAGAGAATCCGAAGCAGGTTCCATATGCAGCATAGAGGCCAAAGCAGGGCTCAATGCCATGACCCTGAAATCATGACCTGAGCTGAAATCAAGAGTCGGACACCAACTGAGCTGTCCAGGTGCCCCATTAATCAGCGTTTCTGAAAAATATACAAAAATTACACAGGAAAAGACAAGCCAAATATATACCAGGAAATCTATATACTGGGAAATCTAATGGGCTAAAGAAGAAAAATTGAGCAAATTTCAAGAATGCATGAATATAGAGTTTTGCCACAATCAGATTATTCCTAAAGAGAAAGACTTCTGAGATGTATTTTTTCCTAATTTCAATAAAGTTAAATTGTTTGTATTTACATTGTGTTAGACATTATAGTTTCCAGCATCCAGTTTGTTTCTTCATTCCATTTTGTTTTTTCCCTATAACACACTTAATTTATTCTGAAGTGTTTAGTTCATATAGTGCTGAGAAACACTGGAGCAGTGCCTTCTGGAAAAACATAGTTAAAGTACTTTTCTAATTTCCTAACACTAGATCTAGTTAGTCAGTTGTTTCCTGAAACATTAACAAAATTTAAAAAATAAGTTCTAAAAATTCCAGTAGATCATAATGAGGTTATAACTTTTCTGATTAATTAATTAACTTGACGATTGGAAGGCACAACACTTCATAGCAGCCTGTCCAAGATAGATTCACAGTATGAATGGAAGTAGACACTTTATAGATTGAGTTAATAGCACAACACAACACAAAACACCTTAAGATTAGTTCTGCAAGTAAATAAAAATGAATTAGACTAAAAGATTTGGTAATTCAAATAACTAATTCTGGGTTGACACAGGAAGACAGGAAATATAGAGACAAACATTTAAGACACCTAACAAAAAGAAAAACGGAAATCATAAATATGCCAAATTCAACAACCTGAATGGCATACAAACAGTAAATGCAGGTGAGATTTTAAAAATTGAGACCCAGATTTGGAAACCTCTAAATGAATATTGTTCAGGGAAAATGGAAGTGAAATACAGAAGTTAAACATCTAATTGAAATGGGCGATCATTGAAATTTTAATAATTATCCAAAAAATTATCTTCAGAAAAATTCTGGACTAGAAATATCAATACATAAAAATGTTAACTAAAGGGGCGCCTGGGTGGCTCAGTGGGTTAAAGCCTCTGCCTTCGGCTCAGGTCATGATCCCAGGGTCCTGGGATCAAGCCCCACATCGGGCTCTCTGCTCAGCGGGGAGCCTGCTTCCTCCTCTCCCTCTCTGCCTGCTTGTGATCTCTGTCAAATAAATAAATGAATGAATGAATGAATGAATGAATATCCTTAAAAAAAAATGTTAACTAAAGCACAAGCAACCTAGATTATCCACATGTTAAAGAAGACTGTACTGCTAAGAGTAGGATTTAATGACAGGAACTAAAGGATGGTTTACTGTTAAGAAACCGGTTTATACATGGGATCTAGAGGGAAAGCTTAATGGCATACAGAATCCCAGAAAGGCTACAAAGACATTTGACAAAATACAAAGCTGACATTCAGTTAAAGATTTAGTAATAAATGGAGGGTGAATTCTCTAATACACTTCTAAGAAATACTATCTGAAACAAAAAGCCAATGTATTGGCATAAACAAATACAACACGGGAAGTTATTATCTATGACAGGTATGGGATAATCGCCTGACAGCACCAGTATTCAACATTCTTCTACATATTCTCCCTGATTTTTATTTATAGTTTTATTGCAATTTCAATAAGAATCTAAATGATATTTTTGGGAGGATGAATACCTAAGTGATTTCAAAAACTAATCTGGAAAAAGAGGGAAAAAAATTTGGAAATAATGATTAATGGGCTCTTACACTACCAGATATTAAATCATCCTACTCATACTATAGCAAAAATAAATTCCAGGTGTTTTAAAAATATAGATGTCAAATGAAACAAAAGAAGTAAAAGAAAATATGTCAATAGTTGGGTTGAAATGGGAGAGGATTTTCTAAGCATAAAAATTGTGCAAAATCACAAGGGGAGAGGTTGGTTGGATAACATACAAAATAACTTCTGGGTGTCATAAGCAAGGTTTATATCTTTTATATTGAGTTATAGTAGTTTAATATTAAAAAAACACTGTAATGCCAAGATGAATAAAAGATGACACAATTTGAAAAGATAGAATTGGAAATACAAAGTATAAAAAGTGTTCAATCTCTAAAAAAATGAATGAAATCAATGTGATGGTGCTTTTGATGTTTAATATGGACAGGTTTAAAAAAATGTTTATTATTTTTGGATTTGCAGTGAATTGACATTTTCAAAGAAAGATGGAAGTATAAATTTCTTTTTTTTTTTTTTTTTTTATTTTTTGGTTTTTTTTTTTTTTTTTTAAGTTTTTTTTTTTTTTTTTTTTTCTGAGAGAGAGAGAGAGAAAGAGAGAGAGCAAGCACAGGCAGATAGAGTGGCAGGCAGAGGCAGATGGAAAAGCAGGCTCCCTGCTGAGCAAGGAGCCCGATGTGGGACTCAATCCCAGGACTCTGGGATCATGACCTGAGCCGAAGGCAGCCGCTTAACCAACTGAGCCACCCAGGCGTCCCGGAAGTATAAATTTCTTAATCTTTATGGAAAGCAATTTGTTTTGTACAACTATACAAATGTTCTTACTATTTGAACTTGTAAACTAACTTCTAGGAATTTATCCAAAATCATCTGAGATGCAAACATAATTATGCATAAGAATTTTCATTTCAGCAATAAGAGCAAAAGATTGAAAACAACTTAAAATCCCTAATATAGAAGACAGCTAAATGATATTACCATAGAATATAATAGTGGCCATTGAAAATTATGGTTGGGGGATGTTTAAAGACCTGGGAAAATGTTGAGTGGAAAAAGCAAGAAAAACAACTCTGTAGTATGTTTTTAATTTTGTGTTAAGAAAGAGAAGTAGAGGAAGTTTTTTTTAAACTACTTCAGAAGGAAACACAATTATAGTTGCCATCAGAAATCCAGTATTTGCTGTTCTGATTTCTACTACTTTCTCGTGTCCGCTTAGAAGCAAAAAATAAGCACTGAGAAGGAAAACAAAGACTGATTTCAATCAGTTGTAAAGATTAAAACATTATGAGTTAATCTTTGAAATTTTAGCCTGTGGCAATAAAGTGTTGCAGGAATCACTTTTGCCACTATTCCTGTCTAATAGAGCTTACAACATTATTTCCCATGTGCAAAGAAAAGAGATCTCTTTAAACTTTCAAATAAAATATTTCTTTGGAAAAATTGTAGCTTTTACTTTTGCTAGGCACAACTTTGGATGTTATACTTGTAGAGGGCCAGGTATCCTTA